ATATATCGCAGACGTCACATACTGAGAACCGCACTTTTGAAGCAAGATTTGTTGCAGTGAATTCATATTCCCCTTGTCGTTTTGATGTCAATATCACAGCGGGGGCCGAGAGACCGCTTGGTCCCCGTTGGGTACACGGGATAGGATCAGCCAACCGGAGAGGATGAAAACTTCCTGCCAATGTTACTATGCCATCGCCGAGTGCGCTCGATTTTCCCTGGCATTCTGTGTGCTGAAACCGCACAATAACGCCAATGGTCTTACACCACAATTTGCTTACAGCGTAGCAAAATTTTCCTTCAGTCACATCCTGACGGCCTTGGTCAGCAGGGCATGCTCTAACTGTTTAACCCTTTGTTTGTCATAAGCACTCAGCCAACCGGGATGAAAACTTCCTGCCAATGTTACTATGCCATCGCCGAGTGCGCTCGATTTTCCCTGGCATTCTGTGTGCTGAAACCGCACAATAACGCCAATGGTCTTACACCACAATTTGCTTACAGCGTAGCAAAATTTTCCTTCAGTCACATCCTGACGGCCTTGGTCAGCAGGGCATGCTCTAACTGTTTAACCCTTTGTTTGTCATAAGCACTAGTTATATGCGTTGTTTAACAATTTACTTATGAGTAGGACCCAGTTACTTGTTTTTCCATGGATGTATTAATGTATTGTCTTTTTCGAGTAATCACAATGTGATTAATTTTGTCCCTCACGATGAGTTTAGTACTGCTTCACGATGGACACCATTTTCAAACGTCACTGTTAAACAGATACTCCCTTTTTATCAGCAGTGTTCCCTCTGGCGAAAAAGATATTGTAGATACATGTGGTTTAGTCACCTAAACTGAAATCTTGAAACCCGACCTTTTATTAAGTGTTATTCATATTGGTTCTCCTTCTCGACCGTCGTCCCATTGGGTTGTAGTGGGATCTTTCATCTTAATAGCACTTGATGACTCCGTTTTTGGTTTTCAACTGTACTAGGATGGCCCTAACCGATTCCACTTTTTCCTCCAACTGAATGACCTCCGATTTACCTTCGAGCGGAACAGGATTCTTGTTATTACTAGTTATTGCGTAAAACTAATCCTCACTCATGGGCACTTTATATGTTGCACCTTGAAGTAACTGTCTGAGAAAGCCTAGTGGATAAATGTCACAGGAGAGAATAGCAAAATGTGCAAAGCAATACATTCACGTTGTACTCCCTCCCAATAATCTGTTTTGCAAGACTAATAACAATGTGAATGCAAAGCAACTCGGCTTCTCAACCATCGCTAGTGCGCAGGAGCTGAATACGTTCCGAGAGAATCAGATTCTGTGGACTAGTGATGACAGCTAACTGTTCTTGTTATGTGCGAATGGATGTCTATGGCAATCTAAATTTCTACAGACAGGAAGTTGTCAGTCGCTTATAGAAGTCATACTTTAACAAACCTTGTTCCCATCGTCGACTCCTTGTTTGCCGATGTACAGCTTCAATCGAAAGTTGAAGCGTTTGTAGCCCTACTAACTGGAATTTCCGTCATGTTCCCTTCCACTACTTACCCCACGCTACCGAACTTCCCGACTGTCTAATCTTGTTTATCCACTTCGACTCAACATGGATTGCTCGTGCGGAGCCCGTAGCGCTGTAGTCCAAAAAATAGCTGATGACGATGTCGTAGGCGGGCGTTGGGATGCGATTGTTTTCCACCTGGCGAGGATGAACTGTCTCACTGTCACGACTGGGTTAGCATCTGAGAACAGATCATGATGCCCTAAGTGGGTCGGTATTGGCTGTTCCCCAAATTAGAAGTACTTGGGGAATACGGTCGGGGAGACTAAGTTCTCCATGAATGCAGGTACTTATTGTTCATCGGTATCTCATGCGTATAATTCTTCTTTCCTTCCATGGCAGCGATTGGGCATCCACAAATTCCTACTCTACACTCACAGTGTCGACTTCTGCTATGATTCCACCTTTATATATGCTCGGTCTGATGCTTTTGAGGCACTCATGGGTGAGTCTGTTATGAGTTGTTTTCTTAAGTTTGTCCCGATACTTGTCCGAAAAAATGTTGCATTGCTTAGTTGTTCCAACCTCTCAACATTTTTTGAAAGCTACGCTTTCCATCTCCAGCATGGTTAATGCATAGTGGTTTCCTATAGAGGCAATATTTGCAAAAAAAACTCCGTGGGAGTGGGCTTTAGTATGGCTATAGGTTTCGTCATTACGTGATATAAGATCTGTCTTTCTGGGAGAAGTGATGGCACAGTTAACCATCACATTACCTATACCTATGTTGAGAGACTTTTTCCGATAAATGAGAGGCACGAAACTGTACAAAGCACGCGACATTGTGGATTCACACAATAACCTAGATGTCTTTTGCGGCATCCTTGCCGGAGTTTACGTATTGCCGTTCACTAGACATGGCTCTAAAGTATCGCCGACGAAAAGAGCACCTACTGCTGTCTACGCAACCACGGTTTTCATTTCGTGACGGCAGTTTCCCCTTGCTAATCCAAGTAACCTGTTAGATATGCGGACTAGAAGGCCGATTGCAGTTTTCATACGATCGGTGGTTTCCAATAAGTGTCGGACGATGAACTACTCTGGTTGCGACTGCTCGCGCGACTTTTTATTGTCACTGGGTGCGGATCGATGTCTTTGAGTCAGTGGTTTCAGATGGCAGCCTTATGCCCGGGTGAGCTTGTAGCCATCGATTTTATCGAGCACTGTCTGGTAGTAACGCACAGAAAGGATGCTGGTGTTGAATGTTTTTTTGTGCTTATAAAATGTCCCTTCCATGATCACTTCGATTCTACGACCCTCCTGCCATTCCAGCTGCCATTGCCTTGGATGCTGGACTGGACGAAGTCGACCGCATTTTCGGTGCAGTTCTTTTCGGCGACGAACCTAGAATACATCGTGTGTGGGTAAAGATCCCACCACACCCTTTGCAATCTCAGTGTCCTGATGGTGACCGTTCGTGGGCAGTAAACGTGCCTATGCTCAAGGTGAGTTATCGTTCAAATCATATTGTTTGTTGTGGTGTTTTCGTTCAGTCATTTCAACCAGATGGCTACTCATGGATAGTTATCTGCTGCAGGTTCATCGCGATTAGGACGTTTCGGCGTCTGTTGCGCTTAAGGCTTTTGCTTTTTCGCTTTGTTGCCTGCAAGCTGTCCCATGGTGTTTGATGCCACATCAGTCGAGATTAGTCGACGAATGGGTGGCGATTTCGCCTGGGGTGCTTAGTTGGCACGAACGGCGGTGTTTTTTACTTATGCTCCAGACATGTTCCTTCTTGTTTTCGTTATATACTAACCATCGTAAATTGTTCTAGTATCTACTTTGTACCTATGATAGCACATATTTTTCATGGCTAAAGGTTCAGACGTGTTCGTGATTAAGGGAGTATGGCGCGCGTGTGAACAGAATTAGTGTACCCGAGACTCAACAGGATGGTCGACATGGACTTGACTAGGTGCGGACGGCAGCATCTGTTGGTCACAAGCTCTTTTCATGCAGTACCAACTTCCAGAATAACCACAATCTTTCCGTACTTGGTGCCCTGCAACGGCGAACCAACCCAACTCAATCACGTTGCCTTCAGTTGCTACTGGCGTTGATCAGTCGCTGCCCACTTTGAACAGTTGTAACCATTCTGATCTGGTGCGCGTGTACTATCACCTTTCGAGCCCGTGGAAGTAGCGAGCATTTCGCTTGGCAGCCAAAGGGCCGTTAATTCAAACCAACTAATCAGATCCATATTCTGACTCCCAGTTGGTCGTACGTCGAATCTCACTGGGATACGATCGCCACATCTTAATACTGGAAGTTTAGTTAGTTGCACGGTGCAGCTAGCTCTCTAAAAACATTGGATATTAGGTAGAAAAGTGACCTTGTATGTATCTCAGAGCTTTCCTGTGGTCCGGAGTAGAACGCAATTGCGGATTATCAGATATCAAACGAGCATCATTGTACATGCTAACGTGAAACCCAGTGGATGCGGAAGGTTAAAGAAATCGAAGAAATCGAAGAATTCGTTTTTCTGAAAAACCCCCGTGAGTGTGACCGTCAAAGACCATAATGTATCATTTATATCTAGTGGAGAAGGATTCCTCAGGAGCACCCTTAATCACAATCCTCGTAGCCACGTGCCACTACTTAGCCAGGTTGCTCTCACTGAAAGTTTATGACTGCGTGGATTCCGTTGAGCGCCACCGAGATCCTTATCCGGACGACCTCCCGCTCGACTTACTCAAGGATGGAATTCACAGTCGGCATTTGTCTGATATCATTGCCTCTAGTCGTAGAAGGAGATCGTTTCAGACAAGTATGGTGAATAGGTAGTAGTACCCATTTTGAAGAAAAAGGGACCCACGGCGAATGTGGTAATCACAAAGCAAGTAACAAGATTCTTAACGTCGTATTAAGATGATCCGTGAAGCGTTGACTTGGTCCCGTAGACGTTACGTTGGCCACATCTTTGCACTCCATCAGGTGCTAAGGGAACGGTAACCCGAAACCTTCTCTTCCGAACTTCGATGGTAGATTTATTTTTGTTGAGCGATCCTTTTTCCTTGTCGCTCATTTTCAGCAAAGAATGCCCCGAGTCTTTGTGCATATAATGAGTTCTATGTGTTTTCTAACTTATTGGTGTGTGAAAATATGTGGGGAGTTCTCCAAAAGCTTCCCTACAAAACGCATCCGACTAAGATATTTTCTGCGGTCGGCGGGGTAACTAGGCAAACATTAAAGTTCCCGAAGTCTGCGTGTTCTAACAATTGCCGACAAAACCCTGTTGACTCAGAATAAACTGATAGCAGTCTCCCACCTGGAGAAAAGTACACGCCTGTTTTTGAATGAAATGACGGAAGTCATTCCGTCTTTTGGCATACGCTTTGCATCCACAAAGTGTGCCCATGGATACACAGTTACTGAACACGCCGGCTGTAACCAATGCAGTGGCATGCAAGGCTATGAAGCTCTTTGTGTTAACCCCAGCTGTACTGGAATAGAAGAGGTTTGGATCGCGTGCCTAATCTTAGATATCTGCAGCTGAGTGCCACTTCTCTTAACCTCAATGAACATTCACAGCAGACTGTGCCCATTGTAATGTCGTGAGGTGTTGCCTCTGTGAACCATTATCTGAGACTTCAGTTCCTCGGAACTATAGCTCGTTTGGCCTTCTGTCACGAGACAGTTAGCGAAAGAATGTTCGTTTGTGCAGTAACGAGGTTGGTCGGAGAATGTATCTACCATCATATATTGCGCTTGCCATTTGCCGTGCCTAATTCACAACGGCTCAATCTTTGACTTTACAGAAGGGTGTGGAAACTCTAACGTAATGTTTGTACACCTTAGGTGCCACCTGTCTCTTAAGACTGGGTACGCCCGCTTTCCTCTATGCTTGGCTGATGTTGCAAAATATTGTCGCTACTCGATTTCGGTGACTTTCTTTTTTTCGGTCGCAATCGAGGTTGCCTGACTGAGTGTCTGGAGATATATGGCTATAGGCTGGAACGAGATCCCTTGCTTCCTGCTTGCTTCCTTGCTTTCAATTAAACTATGGTTCCACGGCGGGGAGGTATCGATGTTCAGCACTGATATTATGCTATCAATGATGGTGGATATCACTGGTCTGCTGAATCGATTACCAGCCCAAGATTTGTATGATGGTAGTTTTCATGAACGTTTAGATCATTCTGCTGATCACGACTCCCAGCTGTTGAGGCGGACTGCTATTGATTAACATGGATGTTCATGAAGAAAGTCTGAACTGGACAAGTGAAGCATGTTGTGAGTAGAAGGAGCTTCTGGATATTCACTGTCGCTTCTTGACCCAAATATGTCTTATGGGCACTTGAGTTTTGTTTCTGCTGCTTGAGTGGATTTGAGTTGAATCGGATCCCAGGATACGTTCGGAGTATGGTAGAAATTACTTCCTGGTCAATACTAGCACTACTTTGTCGGCAAATACGTCAGTCAATAAGCGGCAACCAAAAGCTCCCTTAGAATTCCAAAATACCTAACATTCTGATGGAATGAAATGGTCAGTGTTGTGATGTGATGTGATTCACATCCTAGAAAACCAAGGATAAGTGAGTCGCCGATGGCACCCACATCCTTGGAAGTGAGGCCAGTTTGACAGTTGTTCACTCGAACTCAATGACGCATCTAAGTGGGCGACTGATAACATGTGTTATTCAGATGGTCGGAAGGGAAAACCGAAACAAAGAAAGGACGATAAACTGCTGCATACCTAATGTACGTCATCGCTGTTAGTCGATTTGGTTTGAATCCTAGTGCAAATGACTCAATAAAGGCTTGTGCGTGGTTTGCGGGATATGTAGTGTTCATATCACTCTCGTGTGAACAGCCATCCTCCAATGCTGGCGGAATTATGCATGTGAACGCTGCATATCCTACAACCACCCACAACAGTAAGAAAAAATGTCCAGGCAGATTTCAAACGTTTTTAGTGCTAACTGACTGGAAATCCTGACAGACGGGTCACAACCAGTTACTGGGTCGTCGTTCGACCAGTCGGGAATACCAGTCATACCGCCGAAGCGTGAACACGTTCGCCTGTTCATGCGTGAAAATTCACATGCGCTGGCGGAGTAATGGTAACACACTCTTCTGGTAGGTCAGATGTCCGGAGTTCGAACCCCTGTACGGCCAAAAATGTGGACTGCTGATGAGCTCTGATAAGAGCTGTGTTTCCCCCCTTTGGACTCACCAGAACAATATAGTAAGGTCTTTGTCGGCGTCACTAGCAGCATGTAGCTTACCACTCTGAACCAGTATCTGGTCGTAACTGGATGAATGAAATAAAATGCCTTACAGAATTGACGTCTGTGTTGACCATTGTAGCTCGACTCTAATAGTTTGCGCCATCGAAATAAACCAAAGTTGAATCTGCCGGTTTTTCTAGGTGAACAAGATCATATTTCTGACGACCCAGGTTACATCCCCATGGCCGTTTTCTGTTGGTTGATACACAGGTTTCAGAAATAAAGACGTACCTATTCAACACAATTTGGAAAGTATCCAGGTTTAACATAACCCAAGCGGCGAGATGGTCCAAGTGGTTAGAGCGTGAATTTACTGACCGGAAGGTCCGCGGTTCAAACCCGACCTCTGCCTCTCGACTTCCCCTGTCTAGGCTTGGGCAACCTGGCAGTATCCCAGCCCTCGTGCAACCTTCGGGTGGCATGGAAGCTAGGCACCGAAAGGGTGCTACAGCTGAACGATTAACCCAAGCCTTGACAACCGATCCCTCTATCGTAACGACCAAGTCGGTTTTGAGTCTTTGCTCGGAGCATCGGGAAAACCAGACTTACCGTTCAGGTGCAAGAATATTGCTCGCTTAGGATGCGTCCAGGTGCTCTGGGACGCCGCACTTCAGAATTGATGGCCTGCTTTGGGTCAAGATGATGAATTACATAGGACTATACGAGATAACCAGTACGATTTTGATCTTTGAGATTCGTATGTCGTGGGAACTTTCACCAGTGCATGTTTATGAGTCGCGTCGCAATACATGATCTATTTACGTATGGGGTAAGTGAAAAGGAACTTTCTTTTGCCGCTCGGTTACATTCTGGTCGAGCACAATGTGGCCTGTGTATCTGCGGTCCAGTAGGATCGTACAGGCAACGATTTTAACACCCTTAATTGTGTCTTTCCTTATTGCATCACTGCTATGCAACAGCGTAGTAAATAGGTAAGACTAGCGTTCTGATAGCTTCCGAGCAGTGTTAGAATGTAAAGTATTCGCACTTTCATCTTATGAATCCTGTAGTAGACCTAAACCGCTTGGTGCACTGTTTCACAGCATTCCATGAAGAGTAAAAGTGCTCTAGTGTCCAGATGTGGAAAAGAGGGCGAAACATACTTTTCAACCAGGACCCTGGTCGTAAAAGCATGACCGCGGAGAATGCCGCTGAACTAGCTCGGTGTTCTATTTCACGACGAAACAGTTGTCGCATGTGTTCCGGCCTGTTATAGATGGGGACTGACTATTTCAGCTTCTGGCCATTTGCACCTCATTATACTGAGAATACCTAACTGACGTTTTGATGGTTGAGTGCCTGACGTCCGAAAAACAGAACCGAACCGTACTTATATATATATAAGCTACGAGTGAAATGGCTACCGTCAACTGCCAACGTCTCAGATGAAGTGTTCGTAGTTCTAAGGTGAATACCATATATTCATTTATACACTAATTTGGTTTTAACTGAAGGCTCAAATAACTTCCACCTCAATCGCTCGTCCATGGTATTCCTCAAGTGAAGGCGATTTACAAAGGCACCCCCATGTTTCAATTGGTACGATATTCGAGACATTACAGTGTATTTTTTTGACGGAACACTACTCATAAAGTTGTCGAGACCCCTTCAACTTTCCATTGCCGGTTTTGTTCTTCTTAAAACCAAATGAGTGTATTTTTTAATCACGCCCAATTTAGTTTAACGGAAATTCGGGGGTCGTGCCTATCCGATGTGCCCCAAGATGGACGAAACAGTCATGGACTTGTAGGACGTAATAACCAAATAGATGCGATGTTGCTTACTCGTTTGGACTCACTGATCTGATCCATTCCGTTGTGGTATTTGATGATGGTTTCCGCAGCTCTGGGAGCTGAATGGTAGCCCTCCCGGCCCATTTTAAGAGAAAATAAATGCTGGAAATCTGACAAGCATTCATTCCAGAGGTAGGTAGAAAGACATTGAGGAGCTTTTCCATCGAAAAAGCCGAGTGCCTTACCTATTTGTTCTGTACGAACTTGCAAACACTCGTTTGCAAATGAGTGTATTTCGCTAAAAACGAGCTCTTGATTGAGTTGATAGGTTACACAAATGGTATCATATGGTTTACGAACTTTATCAATTCTTGGTATTAATTTACTGAATGAAACAGTCCCGTTTGTACGAGTGTATGTAGCGTCTAGTCCTGCCTGACGCCTATTTAGGACTGCACAACATTTACACTCGTTGTTTTGTCCATTGGCATCCCGGTTTTTTAATCGCTTCATTAAGATCAACAAACGCGTTCAGCCGAACTTTGCGGAATCCTATTAAAGATGTCCGGTTGAAATCCCAAGCCAATAGTTGGAGAATTATCTGGCCATCCATCACGCTTCAATCCAATAATCCGTCTATTTCCTGGTGATCAAATTTTCCGAGACTGTCCGAGAGACTGGTTAGGTCATGACTCACGTTCAAAAACACCTTTGGATCTATTATGATTTTCCGTCCAAACTGCGATTTCTAGATGATTATCAGAAGAGCCAAAAATGTGTCTTCTACCCAGATGTACGGCGAGTTTCAGCTCCGAACGCAGCAACGCTATAAACCTGGTGAAACATGGCTGAGGTTTTCAGAACTTGCCGACTCCTTGCCTAATAACGATGAGCCGATTGAGGGAGCGCATTCTGGTTGCTTCCCAGATATAGTCATCCCAAGAAATGGGTCGTTCAAATTATCTGCTCTAAGGCAGTAATCTTTGTGAACGCATTTTCTTACCCTATCCCTAACCTAATTTTCCTACATTCATTCGAGTTTTTTGCACGCCCAACGAACCATCCGAAGCCGTTTGGAAACTTTGTTGTTTTCCTGTCAAATGTTAAACGGCCTTATTTCTGCTCCTTTGTGTTTCTCCATCTATCTCCTAGAAACTGCCGATACTGGAAGAAAATTTGGGCATTAGCTTCAAACATCTACGCGTCCTGGCTCGTGCGATGACGATTCGGAAAACGGGCTTCAATTTTTACACATTGTATGTACTTTTGGAGACTATTCTCACCGCTTCTGGCACTTGGTTTGTAATTGTTTTGCTCGGATTAGATGTGTTGACTTTCTTCATTACACGCGCAACTGCAGCAGAATAAAACCCTTAGGCCTTTTGTTGCGGCACGCAACTCCAGGTAAATAGATCAACTCGGTAAGCATCAACATGTCGTTATCCACGATAAGTTGTGTATACCTTGCAGTGAACTGAAGGTGACACATTACCGGTGACACCCGTGTTCAGACTGTGACCGAACTTCGCTGTCAGTCAACCATCCAAGCTCTGTCGTGCTGACAAAGGAACACGTTTACTGTATTAAATTCTTGGTAGACTAATCCATCTTCACTGCCACCTTACTTTGATTCTGCCGTTCTTATAGATTGCCATAGGTTTCCCGTTAATAAAATGGTCAAGTCAGGTATCATAATGGCGAAAACAGGATGTTTGGGTTTAGCTTGCCGTTGTGTAGCGTTGGTTGCTAAAAGGATAGCAGCGGTAAAATTTGTTCCATCTGCAACAAACTTCAGTCATCTTCTACTTCGCGGTTTCGTTGGGCTACAGTAGTGAACCACTATCGAGGTGTGCCGATTCTTATAACGGTCGACCACCAACCAACTAAAATTGGACAATAGCGTTAAAAATCAAAACAGCCCAGCCTGCTTGTTTGACTGTAGATGTATATCTATATCGCCAGAGCTACACCATGAATGTTGGTGCCGTAAACTGGAAACGTGAGGTGTAGTTGGTGCGGGATTTACGCAGTTTATGTCCCTGTGCCGTCGTTTGAAGAGTCAGGCAACTACATCGTCCAGTGTAAAACCATGTTTCAACCGTCCAGACGCGGTTATTTGGGTATTTTTAGGGTACGTTGGTAGGGTAGTGACAAGACGCTTTCCCCTTTTTGTAGGTATCGGGGGTTCATATCTTGGCAGTGCCAAAGATGTGCACTGCCCAAATCTACTGTTACAGGGCAGTCGCCGCCATCCGTAGTTGATTGCTCCATGGTTTTCGTCCACACTTTGTAAGGCGATTGTCCCCCAGCTCGCCGTTCATATTTGACAGATCCGGGCCCAATTCAAACGCCCCGGCTCAATTTACTTGATTCCTACTGTGTGATTGTTGTAAATGATTTATTGTAGTATGGAATTCCCTCACATTTTATCTCATTCACTCTTTTTTAAGTGGTGACAATCAGCGTTTGGAATTCCTCGGTGATTCCCTGCTAAAGTACGTTTCAACCGACTATCTGTTTCGCCACTTTCCTCGCCACCATGAGGGACACTTATCGTTGTTGAAAAATTCGTTGGTCAATAAATACACGCAAGCAGCGGTTTGTTCGGAGCTCGGACTGGACCAATTTGTTATCCGTCGCGAAGATAACAGTACCACCAAAACGGACTGTGAAGGGGGTGAGAAGGGTGGCAAACGCAGCCAACAAACTCAGCCACTCAGCTCGACTGCCTTGTCCAAATCCAGTCAGGCAGCAATCGCCGCACAGAACCAAAATGTAAAGTACCGAGCAGACTTGTTGGAGGGTAAGCACTCATTTCTCATAGGGTGATTGGTGTGCCCCCTTTCTGAGACCACCATCGATTGTGTGAATCCTGTTTTCGTAGTACCTTCAACTCCTGGCTTCATAGATATTTGAACTGTCATTGGCGAGGTTCTCTTCGATTATAGTCCCTGCCAACGTCTCAGATGAAGTGTTCGTAGTTCTAAGGTGAATACCATATATTCATTTATACACTAATTTGGTTTTAACTGAAGGCTCAAATAACTTCCACCTCAATCGCTCGTCCATGGTATTCCTCAAGTGAAGGCGATTTACAAAGGCACCCCCATGTTTCAATTGGTACGATATTCGAGACATTACAGTGTATTTTTTTGACGGAACACTACTCATAAAGTTGTCGAGACCCCTTCAACTTTCCATTGCCGGTTTTGTTCTTCTTAAAACCAAATGAGTGTATTTTTTAATCACGCCCAATTTAGTTTAACGGAAATTCGGGGGTCGTGCCTATCCGATGTGCCCCAAGATGGACGAAACAGTCATGGACTTGTAGGACGTAATAACCAAATAGATGCGATGTTGCTTACTCGTTTGGACTCACTGATCTGATCCATTCCGTTGTGGTATTTGATGATGGTTTCCGCAGCTCTGGGAGCTGAATGGTAGCCCTCCCGGCCCATTTTAAGAGAAAATAAATGCTGGAAATCTGACAAGCATTCATTCCAGAGGTAGGTAGAAAGACATTGAGGAGCTTTTCCATCGAAAAAGCCGAGTGCCTTACCTATTTGTTCTGTACGAACTTGCAAACACTCGTTTGCAAATGAGTGTATTTCGCTAAAAACGAGCTCTTGATTGAGTTGATAGGTTACACAAATGGTATCATATGGTTTACGAACTTTATCAATTCTTGGTATTAATTTACTGAATGAAACAGTCCCGTTTGTACGAGTGTATGTAGCGTCTAGTCCTGCCTGACGCCTATTTAGGACTGCACAACATTTACACTCGTTGTTTTGTCCATTGGCATCCCGGTTTTTTAATCGCTTCATTAAGATCAACAAACGCGTTCAGCCGAACTTTGCGGAATCCTATTAAAGATGTCCGGTTGAAATCCCAAGCCAATAGTTGGAGAATTATCTGGCCATCCATCACGCTTCAATCCAATAATCCGTCTATTTCCTGGTGATCAAATTTTCCGAGACTGTCCGAGAGACTGGTTAGGTCATGACTCACGTTCAAAAACACCTTTGGATCTATTATGATTTTCCGTCCAAACTGCGATTTCTAGATGATTATCAGAAGAGCCAAAAATGTGTCTTCTACCCAAATGTACGGCGAGTTTCAGCTCCGAACGCAGCAACGCTATAAACCTGGTGAAACATGGCTGAGGTTTTCAGAACTTGCCGACTCCTTGCCTAATAACGATGAGCCGATTGAGGGAGCGCATTCTGGTTGCTTCCCAGATATAGTCATCCCAAGAAATGGGTCGTTCAAATTATCTGCTCTAAGGCAGTAATCTTTGTGAACGCATTTTCTTACCCTATCCCTAACCTAATTTTCCTACATTCATTCGAGTTTTTTGCACGCCCAACGAACCATCCGAAGCCGTTTGGAAACTTTGTTGTTTTCCTGTCAAATGTTAAACGGCCTTATTTCTGCTCCTTTGTGTTTCTCCATCTATCTCCTAGAAACTGCCGATACTGGAAGAAAATTTGGGCATTAGCTTCAAACATCTACGCGTCCTGGCTCGTGCGATGACGATTCGGAAAACGGGCTTCAATTTTTACACATTGTATGTACTTTTGGAGACTATTCTCACCGCTTCTGGCACTTGGTTTGTAATTGTTTTGCTCGGATTAGATGTGTTGACTTTCTTCATTACACGCGCAACTGCAGCAGAATAAAACCCTTAGGCCTTTTGTTGCGGCACGCAACTCCAGGTAAATAGATCAACTCGGTAAGCATCAACATGTCGTTATCCACGATAAGTTGTGTATACCTTGCAGTGAACTGAAGGTGACACATTACCGGTGACACCCGTGTTCAGACTGTGACCGAACTTCGCTGTCAGTCAACCATCCAAGCTCTGTCGTGCTGACAAAGGAACACGTTTACTGTATTAAATTCTTGGTAGACTAATCCATCTTCACTGCCACCTTACTTTGATTCTGCCGTTCTTATAGATTGCCATAGGTTTCCCGTTAATAAAATGGTCAAGTCAGGTATCATAATGGCGAAAACAGGATGTTTGGGTTTAGCTTGCCGTTGTGTAGCGTTGGTTGCTAAAAGGATAGCAGCGGTAAAATTTGTTCCATCTGCAACAAACTTCAGTCATCTTCTACTTCGCGGTTTCGTTGGGCTACAGTAGTGAACCACTATCGAGGTGTGCCGATTCTTATAACGGTCGACCACCAACCAACTAAAATTGGACAATAGCGTTAAAAATCAAAACAGCCCAGCCTGCTTGTTTGACTGTAGATGTATATCTATATCGCCAGAGCTACACCATGAATGTTGGTGCCGTAAACTGGAAACGTGAGGTGTAGTTGGTGCGGGATTTACGCAGTTTATGTCCCTGTGCCGTCGTTTGAAGAGTCAGGCAACTACATCGTCCAGTGTAAAACCATGTTTCAACCGTCCAGACGCGGTTATTTGGGTATTTTTAGGGTACGTTGGTAGGGTAGTGACAAGACGCTTTCCCCTTTTTGTAGGTATCGGGGGTTCATATCTTGGCAGTGCCAAAGATGTGCACTGCCCAAATCTACTGTTACAGGGCAGTCGCCGCCATCCGTAGTTGATTGCTCCATGGTTTTCGTCCACACTTTGTAAGGCGATTGTCCCCCAGCTCGCCGTTCATATTTGACAGATCCGGGCCCAATTCAAACGCCCCGGCTCAATTTACTTGATTCCTACTGTGTGATTGTTGTAAATGATTTATTGTAGTATGGAATTCCCTCACATTTTATCTCATTCACTCTTTTTTAAGTGGTGACAATCAGCGTTTGGAATTCCTCGGTGATTCCCTGCTAAAGTACGTTTCAACCGACTATCTGTTTCGCCACTTTCCTCGCCACCATGAGGGACACTTATCGTTGTTGAAAAATTCGTTGGTCAATAAATACACGCAAGCAGCGGTTTGTTCGGAGCTCGGACTGGACCAATTTGTTATCCGTCGCGAAGATAACAGTACCACCAAAACGGACTGTGAAGGGGGTGAGAAGGGTGGCAAACGCAGCCAACAAACTCAGCCACTCAGCTCGACTGCCTTGTCCAAATCCAGTCAGGCAGCAATCGCCGCACAGAACCAAAATGTAAAGTACCGAGCAGACTTGTTGGAGGGTAAGCACTCATTTCTCATAGGGTGATTGGTGTGCCCCCTTTCTGAGACCACCATCGATTGTGTGAATCCTGTTTTCGTAGTACCTTCAACTCCTGGCTTCATAGATATTTGAACTGTCATTGGCGAGGTTCTCTTCGATTATAGTCCCGTGAAAGGAAGGGCTTAGTCCGTAAAGAGATCGAGATACTGAAAAAGATTTTATGTACCGCCCAGTGGTGATGACTACTAACACAACTAGTACACACATTAAAATATTTTATCATTTTCTGTGAGGACAACTTTCTTTGTCATTCAGGGTGTTATTGAGTGATTTTCCCTTCAGATACAGTTAAATTCCGGTGAATGTTTATTTTCTACCACAGCATTTATCGGCGCTCTGTTTGTCGACAAAGATCTGACATGGGTCGAACGGTTTTGCCAAGTGTGTTTCTGGCCACGGCTGGTTGAATTTATCCTGAAACAGGAATGGAATGATGCCAAATCAAAGCTACAGCAGTGCTGTTTGACTTTCCGTTCCCTACATGAGGATCCAGAGATCGCGCACTACAAGGTAAGTGTTCTGTTCACTTGCATCTTTGTTTAGTAACTCCTATTTTAGAACCAGCTAGTTTGAAGCACTAGGTTTACTCAACCGTCGATGCATCGATCTTAATATGAACCTCATCGAGGCTGTTGTCTTGTTTTTCTGAAAACTCTCCAGCAAACTTATGAGCAGTTGCTTCTAAGCAACAACGTATTGCGATATCTCGAATATCTTACCAAATGAAATATGAGGTGGCTTGGTGCAGCTCATTTTATTTGAAACAGATCGTATAAACTTGGGATTCGGCTGGATTCAGTGCAAATGACCATATTCGTCTCATCAGGGCTGTTAGCACTTGAACTGGAACCACGGAACAACGGATTTTTTGTAATAAGTGGAGCAAAGATGTGTGGAAACGCGAACGCGTTAGGGCACACACCTGTGCGCGACGGTCTTAATACAAGACTGGTCCATTTCAGGTGAGCGAAAACCAGATAAACACGCATGCTCGGTAGGAAGTCAGTCAGTGACCGCAAGCATAAATGCACACTCAATTCATTGGGCCATCATTGTATGGCAGCTGGGTTTGAAGATTAACCGACTCTTTAAACCCGGTGTGCGCCCCTTGTTGTTGGACTATGGCGATTGGCCAGTCGTTCACTTCTAACGCTGAGCAGGGATCATGCGGTAAACAAACGATATTTGAAACTTTTTCGCTGTTCTATCAATAGCCGCGAAATTGTACACATGGAAAAGTGAATTCCATCAAGATACTGGCGTTCCGAAAGTGGTACAAGAACACCATCGTCGACGATAACGCAACGGTAGCAAATACTTAGCTACCATACAGCCATGAGGAAGAATTTCCCAGTCAGGAGTCTAAAGAAAAGGTAATGGCAGGCACTTGTCACAAACAACGTTATGTCCATATGGAAAACGATCCAGATAAGGATAATGCCCCTCGGAATGGTGATCAGACGAACGCGTCTAAGCGTCATATTAACTTAGGGTCACGTGTGGAATCCACCCTACGTCCATTAAGAGTCTTACTTAACATAAGCCCACCATACTCACAGCTCTCAGTTTGAGGCTGACCGCCTTCATTCCGTGTTGGCAAGTCTTGGCCTGTCCCCTGCCAGCCTTTCGCGGATGATATGTCTTAGTTTAAAGTGCTTTCTTCGATAGGTGGGAGTTGGGCATACGTAGCGCAAGTCCCAACTACCTTAATAAGATGAGTTTCACTTGCTTCTATGGTCCTCTTGGTTCATCAAACGGCCGCCTACGCATCACCTCATTTGCGAACAAGCTACAGCCACCTAACCCCTGTTATACCCATAACGAATCGATGATCGAACGTTTAAATCGGTTCCACAACCACATGGTAAGAACGCTCCTACGGTTAAGATGAACAGACGATCGTTTAGATACGACGAAATTCGTTACTAACGTGTGTGGCAGTGCAGTCACGGCCTACGACTCTACCTGGGTGAATAGAACCATCCACAGACGTAAGTTTCTAACCCTCAAGTTTCACAAGGACTCAAAATCCTGGGGCAATACTTTGAGGGATCGAAGCACACACCAGAATAGTGCAGTGAAAGACACATATTGAAACCAATGGTCGAGTGAAGTGGTTAAACTATGCTCCCCAGCGATCTGCTTACTGACCTCGGTGTTAACTTTGATTTGTTCACTAACGGACACGTCTTCTATTGAGGACTAGTTGTAACGGTTTAAGTGCATTCTCTTCTGTAGCAGCCTCAATCGTTTCAGCTTTCTGGTTCTACCTGGTCTCCTTATCCACACACAAACTTCGTTTAACCTGGCGTCTAATAGGTAATCGTCTAGCCGAATTAGGTTGCGGTCCTGGAGGGATGAAATTCATGTGCCAAGAGGATATCCACCGGCTAGTATGTGCGCACTTGGAAACACCACGTGATAAGTTTCTGTCCTCACGTATAGTGGTTGCTATTTCTTCCCAGTCACGATTAACATCTTCTGAAGAGGCTGATTTCAAAGCACCACGAAATAGGTTTTGAAGTGTTTGGCTAGTTTTGGTTCAGAAAGCCTTTCTGCTGCTAAGCAGTAACTTTGCCTCTTAGGTTTACCCAGGGAATTCAGTGAAAATCTATATCGGACGAGAATACTTTCCGAAGTACTGTGTATTCCAGGATGATCAGTAGTCGTATGTTGAGCCTTGTGATCATTAGCTAACAACTATATGATCGGCTTGGCTCCACGGTTGTTTAGCGGTAGGGGACTTCGGATAGCCCAACGGCGTCCACAGCTTTTAAACCCAGTACTGCTGAGGAACAGTTGATGGTCAGCAAAAAGTTGTAAAAGACGTTTGCCTTTATCTTTACGCCTTGAACTTGGACTAAATGTACCACTAAATGGCGCCGTACCTGTACACTGAAATCTACTGCGACTGATAGATTATCTGAACTCTTGCGGGTGGATATGAGGAGGATTATTCCTCGATAAAGGTCGTCTTTCATGATACAGCTGGCTGGTGCATAAGCAATAATCATAAAAAAGGACACGAGTTCTTATGGAAGTGGACTGATGGATTCCACAGAATTTGCACGTATCCAGTCAAGCGAGGAAACATCAACGACGCAATCATCTGCGGCCCCATTACTCTATGTGGATATTGCATCCGGGCTTTAAAAGTGCAGAAATGCCTATCGATAGCGTACCAAGAGTGCGTGCATGTACACCTTGTTGAGGGTTCATGTTCCAAAGGCTGTAATAAAAGCTGGGAGGCGGGGTCCGCTTGATGAAAGTGGGACAGCAGGTGCAAGGCATTGTATGCAACCAATCACTTTTCTGGGTGTCAGACTGATGTGCCTAAACTTGGGCTCTACGGAGAAGCGGGAGAAGATTCTAGAGAGAATGATGAAAGAAGCTTGGAGGCGTCAGCAATCGCATGTTTTTCGGTCACCATCGCTGCCGTGTGGGTTCTCCATGAGTGATATTATTATCAGACTACTCAGAGTGCTTGAGATGCATCTTACCGACATAAAAGTCACTGAATTCAGTTCTTCAAATCCTGACGCCCCACGATATGTATGCTGGATGGGCTAAAACCTGAAAAGAAACCGATCGATGTTGCTATTGCAATCTGGTTTTTGATCCTTTGCTCGCGTTCTGTTTGAGAAGCTTCGTTCGACCAAACTAACGATCTGTTCTTTAGCCAACCTCTGGCAACATTAGTCTGGTGGCCACCTGTCGTATGACTGGCCTGAGAACGACGTTATCACGTCGGTAGGTGTAACGGCTGTCTGGTTATATCCGCGTAATGATGGAGAGGCAGTGTTGTAGAAATTAAGTGGGCCGTATCTGTTAGCAGTGAAGGTCTGGATGTCACAATATTTGAGAACTCCCATTCACATCGAATGACTCCCTCTAGATCTTCCTATCCTTAGATCTCCGAATAATAACAATAATAATAATAATAATAATAATAATAATAATAAGTTACGCATACAGGCATTTCCCAAAGTTTGCAATGCGTGCTTCGGAACGTGGCAACCATTTTCGAACTGATTTCTGCAAACCCTATTTTTTAAGTTCGCTTATTTAGTCTTGTCGGAAATTCATGATTTCAGTTCAGCATCAGATAATTTTTCGTGAGAAATCCTGCGGATTTTCTGTATTCCTGTCGCCTGACTCTTACATCTGTAGAGCACTATCAGTACTAGTCAGTTTCATTATTCATGTGTGGGTTGTTGGCCGTTGCGATTCGGAGCTCATTACTCACATGTTTTTTCAGGCAACTTCTCAGTCCAGCAAACAAGACTGGCGTATTGCTGAAGCATGTACCCTCTATCAGATCCGTGACTATTAAACATGTGTTTGCCTATGCCAGGTAAACTGTGGTAATGAAATCCATTCTTGTCTGCCCTGATTCTCGTGCAATGCCCGCCAATACTTGGGGTCCCGCCAGCTTTTGAACATGCTTTTCTGTATACAGGTGCTAGAGCACAATGGACCTACGAATCAGCGTACGTATTTGGTCGGTGTTTATTTCCGTGGGCAGCGACTGGCTACCGGGTCTGGACGTTCGGTGCAACAAGCTCAAATGGAGGCAGCAAAACAGGCGCTCGAACTCCACCAAGGTCAGTCTTCGTGTAGCCTTCTTGTATAAAAACCCATGAACCTAACTCATGTCACCCGTAGTCTTTGTTTATATCGAACATAGCACACTGTTTCTGCACGATTCCTTGCCCCAAAGGTGGCATACTTGGATTTAGGGACTAACCTTTCACTTCGACATTTCTGCATAGCTTTAATTAAAATTTCTCCAATTTGACTAAGGGCTTATTTTGTGGAAAAAATGTGATCTAGCTGTTAAAAAATAACATTTTACCGTATAAGAGAGCCGCCGCATACGTTGCAATTCATGAGTTTATCCTACTTCTTCCCTTATCTGGCATCCTGCGCCCCAAATTACTTGGGGTATGAGCACCGCAATGGCACACACAAAGTGTTTTCAATTATCATTGCTTCCATATGAATCCTCGCGCCTGTGCATTACTGGGTCTATGCAGTTTTACCTAGTTTCTCTGCATAAGGAAAGTTTGGATGAATTGGATAAAAAAAACAACGTCGACTTACACTCATCTGCGTACCAAGTTGGTTTTGATGGCAGACTCCCCTGGAACCGATCCGAATCTCTCATTCATGATGTTCTTACTCAACTGAATATGTTTTGTTCACTTGTGCTAGAAATTGGCGGTCGGGTCTAGGCGACCAGTGGGAAGGACCGTCACTCGTAAATCAAATGACTCAGGCTCTGCCTCCCATGTGCACCCACAATCAAAGGCTAACATCTTTCATGGTGTTCTGCATACTTTTTTCTAGAAATCAAGGTGTGGTAGGTCATTTGTCATGTAGTGTCTTCTGATATCCACTAGTAATAGTTTTTAGTGAGATCCAAGTGAGCCAGTCGGAGCAGAGAGGTCAGGATATGAGCGCAGTTCAAACAGTACAGTACAAACAAGGAAAAAAACAGTTCAATGTATGTGATAGGTCACATCTGTTTTTATCTAGACCGAAACCTTTGTTCTTATGGGGCTATTGATATTTAACCAGTCACTGAGGTGAGAGGGTCATTCCTTTTTTGTATCACCTGCCTTATTGTCTGAATATTACACACAGCAATGGTTAGCAGATTCAGTTCGTTCAAGCTCACTTCTTCCGTAGAATACAAAGCGAACAAATCAAATCCGTCCGCCCGTCTGTGTTACGGTTGGATCTGTAGTAGGTGGTTTGAGTCTAAACAAGAGCATCTGACATTTCTCTGATCCGATTGGACCACGGACCCTGTTTCAATGCTTGCCCTCTAATCACTAATTTAGCTGGGATTGATTTCACCCAAATTGAGTTGTCCTAGAATAATTTAATGAAGCGTTTGTGGGAAACTTTGTGCGTATACGTAGGGTAGTCTCGTTCGGTTGTATGTCTGCTCACTCACATTCGAATTTCCTTCTACTTCAGACACATTCCGACAGTTAGATTTCCAAAGGTCCGTTATATCCAAACGGTACAAACAACCATATATTGAGAAAATGCTGGATCACGTGCAGAACTGGGATGAACGCCTAGTGGATTACTTTGTGGCAGCCGGTAATTCCAATTCGGAAATGGCTAGCACGAAGGACAGTTCGCTAGAATCAGATACTATCAGATGTGACGCTGATAGCTGTTTAAGATACCCCGCATCTCCAAATTTAGCGGATTATCTCGAACACAAAGAAAAGCCGCCACCGAGTGAAAAAACTTGCCCCAAAGACTCAGACCATGGCCAAATGAAGTCCCCCGTGGAAGAAATCTCAACGGCAACCAGGAAGGATCACACCTCGACAGAGGATGTCAGTCGCCGATTGATCACTGCCGATGCAACCTCGGAAGATGATGGAGAAGAAGGGGAAATTAAAGACGACATCAATGATTTCGATTCCTGTCCCAGCTCGAATAGCGAACAAAATGACATGGACTTTGATTCCGACGATGACCATCATTCCAATGGGAGACGAACGACTCTCCCGAGTGGAACACTAGCCGATCTGCTAAGGTTTAGAAAGTCTACCTAGATTTCCAGCTACCCGTCAAACGGATTTACGTGCACTGACTCCATTCCAAGCACCCTCACTTTATCAATCTTTAGTGGCCAAGGCATTTACTGTTACCCAGATTTTTCACACTGTGCTACTGATTATTTTTCCCTGTCCAATCGAACTAACGACTATGGTTGAGAATACGCCCTTTACAAGCCTATTCAATCATGTCCCCGTGTCCCAAAACAAGTGCTTTGAATAAATTTTCTTTTCATTTTTGTCATAGTTATTCAGAAGATTTTTCCTTCCCTAAATTGTTCATTTGACTAACGGGATCATCTCCATCTTTCAGATTGTCTGATTAGCTGCAAAAGGACGAAACCGGTAGTGGATTGTTCAGTAATTTTCATCAGTTTCCCGAAATCACTGTCCGGGGTGCCAGTACAATGGATTTTGGTTACTTTAACTGCGAGTTTGGAGCTCGTAATTTTGCATCGATCCCGAAATTCATTTAAAGGTTTGGCTGGTAAAGAAGTGAATATAGGCGAGCTTTCCTGAACTAATTTGCAGTCGATGAGGTAAGGATTCATGCGGGCATTGTGTGAAGAGCTGAGGTGATAATCATCATCATCCACAGCATGACATCAGTGTTCAACGCCGATGCTTCACTGCCGTAAAACCATGGTTCATTTGAAAGCTTTATTGTAAAGAAAAGAATAAAGGTGGACGGGGGACTTAGTGCTAGCTTGCCACAATCATTCCGAGGTGCCTATACCTCCAGACATTCACTCAGGCAATCTGGATAGAAACTGACAACAAGAACGCCACTGACATCGGTTGACAGCCATATCTTGTAGTGTCTCCAATCAGGCACAGTGAGGATCA